CTGTAATCCTAGCTACTCAGGAGGCTGAGATCTAAGGATCACAGTTCAAAGCCTGCCCAGGCAGGAAAGTTTATGAGACTCTTATCTCCAGTAAACCAATAGAAAACCGGAAGTGGTGTGGTGGCTCAAGGGGTAGGGTGCTTGCTTTGAGCTGAAGAGCACAAGGACAGTGCCCAAGCCCAGAGTTCAATCCCCATGACCAACAAAAAACAAAAACAAAAAACAAGTCTGTATGGTAATTTTTTGTGCTGGTCCTGGGCTTGAACTTAGGGCCTGGCACTGTCCCTTAGGTTTTTCCACTCAGGCTGATGCTCTACCACTTGAGCCACTTCCAGCTTTTTTATGGTTAATTGGAAATAAAAGTCTCACAGTCTTTCTTGCCCAGGTGGTGTCTGAACTGTGATCCTCACCCCTCAGCCTCCTGATTAGCTAGGATTACAGAGGTGAACTACCAGCACAGGATTCTGCATGATTTCTTTCATACAAAGAATCTAGAAAATTAAAATACATGAAAGAGCAAGGGGCACTATGAAGGAAAAGGAAGGAGATCAGCAGGGTGGAAGAAGTGAAATAAGAGAGGGTATACATAGGTGAATATGATCAAAATATGTCATGTGCTTGTATGAAAATGTGATAATAAAGCTCATTATATTGTATAATTTCTATATGCTAATGAGAATATATCTAGAGATTTTTTTTAATTTGGTTAAAAATTTCAACACATGCTGGGTGCTGGTGGCTCTTTCCTCTAATCCTAGCTATTAAGGAGGATGAGACCTGAGGATTGCAGTTGAAAGCCAGCCTGGGCAGGAAAGTTTGTGAGACTCATCTCTAATTAACCACCAGAAAACCAGAAGTGGAGCTGCAGCTCTAAGAGTTAGAGGACTAGAAACAGAAAAGCTCAGGGACAGTGTCCAGGCCCTGAGTTCAAGCCCCATGACTGATTAAAAAAAATCTCAACACCTATTCTGGAGGTGGGGCTCACATGGTAGAGGGCCAGCAGAGCAAGTGACAGACTCTTGAGTTCCAACCCCAGTACTGGCAAAAATTATCAAAAGTTTCAAGTCATACTGATAATTACAGGAAAAAAGAAAAAGTAGATTTTACTAAATTAAGTCAAGTACTGATTTAATCACATTGCACAGAATCAATAATGTAATAGTCATCAGGTCCCTAAAACAGAAATTTTCGGAATATCTCTTTGTAAAGATGAGGTAACTGGATCTCAGAGAGATAAACGAACTTGTTCATAGGGTAGAGTGTATAGTTGAGACCAGGTAGTTTTACTCACAGTATAGGAGTTGCAAGAGCTTCTGCTGAGGGCTCATGGTGTACAGTGTCAGAGGCAAAACCACGTGCGAGACAGAGAAAGGATGCGAGAGACCAAGAAAGGGTAACTTCAACTTCTTTTTTTAAAATATATTGCCAGTCCTAGGACTTGAACTCAGGGCCTGTGTGCTGTCCCTGAGCTTCTTTTGCTCAAGGATAACACTCTGCCACTTAAGCCACAGCGCTACTTCTGGCATTTTCTGTGTATGTGGTACTGAGGAATCAAACCCAGGGCTTCATGCATGCTAGGCAGGCACTCTACCACTAAGCCACCTTCCTAGGCCAGAAGTTCAACTTTATATAGAAACCCATTCTTGTAGGAATCCTAGTAAAACCTAGGTCACTTCTTTAGACCAGGATTGATCACTTCATTAGTGTAGTACTGATCCAAACCTGCAACTAGGCCATATCTCTCATATATTATATATAATGTATAATATATCAGTATATGAACTTTTGAAGGACATAACCAGAACAAAATTCTACCTAAAGAAAACACTGAAGGGGCTGGGCGGGGGATGGGGAGAGATGGGAAGGGATGAGAAGGGGAAACAAAGAAGGAGGTGTGGAGCACATGGGCAGCAAAGATGGCACTGAGAGGGAGTTGAGTGGGCAGAGCCCAATTTGCTTTACATTCAATGTGTAACCAGCGCGTGGAAGCTTAGGTGCATGATAGGGTGTGACCTTGACAGTGATTGGTTCCTTTTCCTCCCCTGCCATGCCACCTGCTCTTTTTTGCTTTAAAAAGGGCTGCTCTCTGTTAATAAATGAGTTTCTTCCTGCTTGACTTGACTCCCCACTGCATCTGATTGTCTCCCTGGCTAAGGGAGGCTGGGGAATGGGCACTTACCTTTCCTCGACCCCGTCTGTCTTTTGTGGGACTGATGAAGACCCGACAAGGAGGCAACAATGCTTGATAAGAAATGTACTCATTACCTTGCCCATGTAATTGTAACCCCTCTGTACGGTATTTTCACAATTAAAAAAAGAAAACACTGGATGTCTGGAATCTTGGAGGACCAAGTCCTTGAATTATCATGCCAATTCTTTCATGAGTATAGAAACCATGTAGCAAAATACTTTCTGCTCCTGTCTTAACATGATAAAGACATCAATTTAAGAAGGCTAGTGTGATGCACTGATGCAGATGAATTGACCAAGGACTTTACCTTCTAAATTAGGGCAAAGAGCATTGGAACTAACTTATTGTGGCAGCAAAATGTTCAAAGTCTAGTTCTGCTGAATCTTTCCCCAAAGAAAGCAAATGGGTGCTGGTATGTTATTCACAAAATGAAGAACGTGTCCCCATCCTTACCACTGTTGCACACCAGCGACAGAAGTGCTTCCTTCAGTCCAGGGGAGTTGTCTGGAAAAAGTAGGTATGACTGACTCACACCTGAAAAGGCTTAACCAGACCCAAACTTGTTCTCAGAGACATCTCTTCTATACTAGCCAACCTGAAGAATGAAATGAAAGGAGTCAAGTGCATGGCTGACATATTTTGGGTATGTGCCAGTCCTCGGGCTTGAACTCAGGGCCTGGGTGCCCTCCCTGAGATTTTTTGCTCAAGGGTAGCACTCTACTGCATGAGCCACAGCTTTTGGTAGTTAATTGGAAATAAGAGTCTTACAGACTTAACTGTTTGGGCTGGCTTTGAACTGTGATCCTCAGATCTCAGCCTCCTGAGTGGCTAGGATTACAGGCATAAGCCTAGTAACTGATTTTTTTTTTCCAGTCTTGGTGCTTGAACTCAGGGCCTGGGCACTGTCCCTGAGATTGTTTGCTCAAGGCTAGCACTCTACCACTTGAGCCACAGCTCCACTTCTGGCTTTTTCTGTTTATGTGGCACTGAGGAATCGAACCTAAGGCTTCATGCATGCTAGGCAAGCACTCTGCCACTAAGCCACATTCCAAGCCCAACTGATACATTTTTAATGTACAGCGGTAGTCTCTGGGATTCCCAGACGGTGGGGTATTGTTTAGGAGGGATGACTTTCACTGAGACCTGGAGCTAGCCCAGCTCCCACTTGCTTTCCTCTCTTGGGAGCCACTCTATCCTGAGTTAGGAAGCCCACAGGGTTTAAGAGAAGGCAAGTTATATTCTATATTGGCCCTAAATGTTCTTCATTTGGCTCCATTCTTGTGCCAACAATAGTTCCTGGCACATAAATTGGAAGTTGCAGAGTGAACCAGCATGTGAAAGTACCAACTGCAAGATATTCTTCCCTACTGGCTTTCTTTAATATAAAGTGGGGCACAAACCACTAGAGGGTTGGAGGACTCCCGTAAACCTATAAAGCAAACTCAGAGCCAAAGTCTCTTTAGTAGAGACCAGGCACTTTTAGTGGCATTATGAAGCCCAGGACTGGTGCTGAGCCACAAGCCACATCCCAGTGATGCTCAAAGCTCTGAAATAGCCTCTCCCCTAGTGCAGGGTCATTGTTTGAATGATCTCTTAAGGGAGATCAAGGAGATTCATAGACTCCTCTTGGAAGACATTGGTAAGATCCTTCCCCAGGCTCAAGCAACTTCCCCTTCCTGCAAGTGGCCCTGGGTTTACCCTGATACAAATCTACAGATGGACTGGCATCTCTCCCATAAAGTGCCCACGGAGGCTTATGGACACCATGCATGGCTATATTTTTGTTTAAAAAATCAACTGAGGTCTTCATGGGATGCTCAACAACTTGATTCCTGGAAATTAGATGATGAACTAACCACACAGAAGCTCTACTGCTGCTCAAACAATTCATTTATTAAAGTTAGTAACGCGTAATCTGCCCCTAATACCAGCCAGGGTCTGTACTAAGTACTTGCTGGTAGGTTAATGAAGAAAAGATACACACAGCCCTGGTAAAACATCCCTTATGTTGACAGCACTTACATTCTGAATAGCCTGGAAAGAAGGGCCAGAGATAGACACTAAATTTCATAAAGAGGAGGCATTAGGAGATGGGAAATGCTGTGGATAAGGAAATACTGCACACCTAGCATAAGGCGGACTCCAATCTAAAGGAAGACTGTCACTTTAAATCATGCCCATTAACATGCTGGCCCTTGTGCTTGGAGTTAGATGCTTTGTCTCTGCAGGTGTATGATCAAAGGCCAAAGCTAGCACTGTCAGCACAGAATTCACTATGAGCCTGGAAACCAAGATTTACCTTAATGTCAAGCTTGTTTTTACCTACAATCAAGATTTAGCATTACAATGTTTTTTTTAAATCGGTAATATACTTCAATAAAGTGCATCCTCACTCTCTAGAGAATTTGCTGGTATCTTTTTGCTTTGTTTTTTCAGATAAGCTCTTGCTCCATAAACCAGGCTGGCTGTGTTCATTAGTTGACTGTGGTCACTAACATGTGAAAGATTTTTTTTAATTCATATGTTTAATTTCTAATGAAATATCGACTGAATAGATATGATGTTTTTCAAATATCCATTTTTTTGTTGTTGTTCTTACACATGGCCTTTCTCCGTAGCCCTGGCTGGCTCTGAACTCGAGATCAATTAGCCTCTGTCTCCTAACTGCAGAGATTACACCACACTCATTAATTAGATGAACCTAAAGAGTTCTATTTAGAACATTGTTTAAACTTTCTAAGCTAAGTTTTTCTAATAAAACAAACTTCTTAATCCCATAGAAGGAAAGATAAACAGGGAAAATATTTTGTTACAAGGAACTTTGCACAGGGGTGATGGAAACTGCTCTCCATGTACAGCCCACCTGGGTACTCTCCACTATGACAGCATTGACCAGGTCATATTCTTGAGGTTCATATCCAGCCGGACACTTCAGAGAATCCAAGGTGAAAAAGATGCTGTAGTCGATCACCCCATTTCTTTCCTCTATTGAAGTAATGTAAATCTGTGGTGAGAAATGATGAAAAACTTTTTACAACAAAGCACAATCCATCATACTGGGGTCTACACATCCTCATCCCAGCTCTAACTGGCACACTGTTCCACCCCGCCATGGATTCCCAGACTGCCTGGTACACTGGCAATGCAATACACTGGCTCTTTGTCAACACACCTGTGGCCCAGGTCCCACTTTATACCAATTCCAGCAGAGTCTCTGGAGATGGTCCCAAGATCTTTGATGAGAAACCTTGCTCTAAACATTACCCACAATTGCATAGTTAAGGCTGAGAGATTGAAGGGAATAACTTGAAAGGAATGCAGTGGGAAAGGGCTATTATTTTCCCTAATAATTTAGAACTTAATTATATGCATTCTATATTATTTCCAAATTATCTCCTTCTGGAATTCCTGTTATTTCAATAATGAAAACGGAGTAGGCGCCAGCGGCTCACGCCTGTAACTTAGCTACTCAGGAGTCTGAGATCTGAGGACTGGGGTTTGAAGCCAGCCTGAGAGGGAAAGTCAGGGACAATTCTCAGGTCCTCAGTACAATCCCAAGTCTCCCCCCAGCGTATACACCACACAGAAAAGAAAAGAAAAGAAAAAAAAGAAAATTGACCCCTCTCTGGTAAAGAACATATCCCTCCCCCCCCCCCTCTCTCTCTCTCGTGTGTGTGTGTGTGTGTGTGTGTGTGTGTGTGTGTGTGTGTGTGTGTGTGTGTCTGTATGGGTGTCTCTGTGTGTATCTGTGTGTGCCTGTGTCTATGTTTATGTCTGTGTGTGTGCATGCACTAGTACTGGGGCTTTGAACTTAAGGACTGGGCACTGTCATTTAGCTTCTTCACTCAAGACTGGCACTCTACTACTTTGAGCCACAGCACCACTTCCAGCTTTTTGCAGGCTAATTTGAACTAAGGATCTCACAATTTTTCATCCCCCTGCTGGCTTTGATTTATAATCCTCAGATCTCTACATTCTGAGTAGCTAGGATTATAGGCTTAGGAATCGGATGGTGAACTAATCACATAGAAGCTCTACTGCTGCTCAAATGATTCATTTATTAAAGTTAGTAACATGTAATCTGCCCCTAATATTTCCCAACCTTATTTCATGCTACTTTCTGTAGACTCTGGATCTTGAATTTTATGATTTTCCCTCAATTCTCATAAATTCTATTTGTTTCTCCTGTTTCCCTGTCCCTGTTCCCATTGCCATTTGCCAGGTGAATACTTTATATCCATCCACAACCCATATTTTTAGATGTTCCAGAACATTCAGTAGATTTCTGATACCAAAGATCATCATCACTAGGGGAAGATATGAATATATTTAAAATAAGTTTGACATGAAAACAACTTACATTTTCCACATGCTTACAGTTCATGGGCTTCACTGAGTGTGCCTTGATCTTTGAGTTCCTTGACTTCTTAGAATACTCAATTTCTACCCAGTCACCCTTATAGGGCACAAAACCTGAAAGAGCCATGGAGAAAAATGAGTGACTAGAAAACTATGGTTAGGCCATTTCTTTATACTTTTCTCCTCTCTTTTTGTTTCTCTCTGTTTCTGTTTTTAAAGTACTATGTAGTGAGTCAATGAGATGTTACCTTTGTTTATGTTAATTTTCACAAGCTACTATGATTTATTACACACTAAAATAACTTGCATTCTATTTAAAGTACACTTTTCACACTGAAACACATACTTCTTTTCTTTTGGAAGCCCTATGGTTTGAACTCAGGGCCTCATGCTTGCTAGGAAGGTATTTTGCCTCTCATAACACATATTTTCAGATGAAACCAACCTCAGAGTCAGTTGTCCATTTGTCTATGATCATTTAGCATGACATAAATCATACCTGTAGAAAAGATGTCCAGAGAGAAGTAAAGTTTCTTATCAATGTATACAATATTTTTCTTTACACGGGTAACACAGCCAGCTAAAACTCTCATTTTGGGGTCTGGTTGTATAACGACTTCAAAATTCTCAGAGATAGCATCCACCTGTAAGATATGGAAATTGTTACTGAAAATACGATATAAAATGTCAAAATTAATTTGTATGCTTAAAGCATCAATGTTGAAGGATTTTGGGATATGGTGAAGATAGGCTAGGTTGAACCTAGAGGTTTCAGACCAGCTTGTGCAATGTAATGTGACCCTGTCTCACAAGATATTTTAAAGTTATCCTCAATACCAGTGAACATATTTCACATTATATTACAAAGAGATCAGAGAAAATAGAGAGGAAAAAAGCAATACCCATGCTTCATGCATTGATAAAAGGCATCCAGAAATTTTAATTGCACATATAGCATTAAATTCAGAGAAAAAAATAGTGCTGTCATCTCTAGAAAATTTTCAACTTATTTGGAGGAAAAGGGACAGTAAATCTTTCTAAGCAAGTAGAGTTACAGAGTATAAAGTAAGTTCAAAAATTGGTCTCAGGAATCCTGAGGCAGAAGAAAATTTCAGACTGCTAGAGGGCATGCAAGGGTATTACCTGGAGGAAATCAGATTTGAGCTGGGTTGTGGATGGATACAAAGTATTTGCCTGGCAAATGGCATGGGAACAGGGGCAGGGAAACAGGAGAAACAAATATAATTTACAAGAATTGGGGGAAAATCATAAAATTCAAGATCCAGAGTCTACAGAAAGAAGCACGAAATAAGGTTGGGAAAATAACCTCAAATGAGGGACAGTTCTGAAAGAGCAAATAAAAATAAAGGCCAGATTGCTTATGACAGAGATGCATACAAATATTTAGTGAAACGTAAAATTTTATTGCTTCAGCTCTGGAGTTTAAGGACAGCTAGAACAACATATTGAGACTCCCGTCTGAAACAAAAAACAGAACTCACAACCAATATTAGAAAAAAAAGACCTACAGCTTCAGAGGAGTAGGACTTCAAATTTCACTATATCCACTGTACGGGTCACACAGAGACATTGAATTGAAATACAAAGCTATGCTGAAAGCCAGTAAGACGAGGACTGCCCTCAAATTCATAGTGATCTTACTTTGATTGCCTTTAGTCTGGAAGATAGTTCATCTTCTTCCACAACCGCAGTAACTTTTTGTCCAACTTTTAGAGACGCATTGCCAGTCGCATCAGCACTGAAGTAAATGGACTCATCAATCCAGCCATGATCGCTACCGAAACTTGTCACAAATCCTTGCACAGTTTTCAATTTGCTCTCACCTATAGGATGAATAAACAACAGGTTCCAGAAATCAGTTTCAAAAGCAAACACTCATTACAAAGAAATCCTACCCAAGGAAGACAATGGTAGCTGTTATCAATTTCTAGAAAGAGGGTGCTTCCAATTTAAGATACACATGATACAGATAGTACAGTTGCATGCAGGGTGCTAGAGTCAGAGTGCCCAAGTTCAAATCCTGATCATACCGTTTCTTAGTACAGCTCAGGGTCCTCACACCACAAGCAATGGAGGAATGTGGTTAAGAGCACAGTGTTGGGAGCTAGATTGCCTGGGTTACAGTTACATCTAGTAAATTCACTCATCTCTGCAACCCCAAGCACAATTCTTAACAATTCTAAACTTGTTTTAAAATTTTTACTTTTTGCCAATCCTGGGGCTTTAAATCTAGGAGTGAGCACTATTGTTGAGCTTTTGTGATCAAGGCTAGCTCTTAACCCACAGCTCCGTTTCAAGCATTTTGTGGTTAACTGGAGTCTCAAGGCTTTCCTGCCCAGATTGGCTTCAAACTGCAATCCTCAGATCTTAGTTTTCTGAGTAGCTAGGACTAAGGTGTGATCCACTGGCTCTTGGCTGAACCTGTTTTTTTCTGTAATCAAGGAAAACACCAATGTTTGCCTAATTTCAATTGTAAATGCTAAGTGACATAAACGTCAACTGCTTTGGAACTGTGAGTGTCTTGAACAATCTAGAATATAAAATGGTTTTATTATGATATCTATGTATGGTAAGTCTTTAAAGGACTGCTATTTGTTTCTTTGCATTGCCAAGGATGGAGCCTGGGCTTTTCAGATCCTAGGCAAGTGCCCTATTACTGACTGCACACACACTTTGCCTTTATAGGCCAGTTATTATACAGCTATTACATTTATACCAACATACTGAGAAGCATCATATGCTATATCTCAACAGATATAGTATTGCAATATATCAGGGTTTTAAATCTAATCACCAAGGAGTTTGATTTTTCTGAATAAACATAAGTGCTAAGTACTATTCCGGGATCCTACCCCACACAGTAGGACTGCAGAAATGAAGCTCTGAACCACAGTGCCCCAATTGCCTATTCAATAATTAGGGGAGGGGGGTGGGGGAGGCTGGGAAGGGATGGGAAGGGTAAACAAAGGAGAAGGCTACAATACTTGATAAGAAATGTACTCACTATCTTGCCCATGTAATTGTAACCCCTCTGTAGAGTATTTTCACAATAAAAATAAATAAAAAAACAATTAAAGGATTAGAAGCATGGCTAGGAAATCTTTTATTATATATTATATCATGAAAATAAAATGCAGCAGAACTTGAGAAATTGAAAACAGTAAGGATTATGATTAATTATTATTATTAAGTTAAATGTAGTAGTCACATCATATCTTAGGAGAAAGAGGAAGGACAGGAGACAACAGCCACTCAGCACATGAAAATTTGTCAGACTCTCTATTCCCAGTGGAGAAAAGAACAGGTAGTGAAGGGCACTGCCATGAGAGAGTTCAGCTCAACAGGAAGAATCGCATTCCCAGATGAGCTTTGCTAAGACTCAACCACCTCCGCTGGGAGTCTGTACTCTTCCTCCTAAGAAGCATGGCAGATCCCTGTCCCTGCTGGGCACAGTGCTAACCACAAGGCATTAATCTCTTCCCACCACCCTCCTGAGGACTCTGAATGCCCTCTGATAGATTAATTAAGTCAGGTGTGTTGGATGTGGGTGTGGGGTATCAATTCTGCTAGGTCACTGCCTCCCTGTGTGCCTCTGTTCCTTATTACCCTGACATGGCAATGCTAGGAGTGCTCTTCTTAGACTGAATTAATGACACACATGCCTTAGAGCCCTTAGTCCCATGCCTGGAACATACAAGCACTAGACACAAATTAGTATTACTATAAGTCAGATCAGAGACATCAGTCACCCAGCAAACGTCCTCATGTTGAATCTGTTGCCCCTCCCCCCCCAACCCCGCCAAGAGCAGATCTTACCCCATCTCCCTTGATGGTCCACTGTAGGATAGACCTGGGGCAGGGCTCCAGGAAATACAGAGAAGCACTTAAACCTGCCTCCTGCTCTCCCCTGCATGGCAGATGTGTGATGGGCCCACTTGGCTTCGATCACACACAAGAACAAATTCGGCCCCAAGTTAGAGCGTTTTGCTTCTCCCAGAAACAGAAAACGTTGAAGCCCACCAAGCATTTTGTGACACAACGTCTGTGTATTAGCCCAAACACTTCCTATTTGGGCTCGACAAAGGGCGTTGGGGCATGGATATAGGATGCCCTAACACTGGAAGTCTCCGGGACCCCCCACTCCCCGCCACCGGACATTCTAGAAGGCCTAGCCCCACCCCTCACACTCTTCCCTCCTGAGGCCCAGGGGCAGAGGCCTGAGCAGAGAGCCGTTAGGAGCATTAGGAGAACCGTTAGGATGCGGGGGACCAGGGGGACTTGCAGAGGGATACCTTGCACTGTCTCCTGCTGTTCTTCATTGGTGTCCGCCCTTCTTCGGAAGAAAGTGAAAATTTGGCTCAAAAGCCTAAACATAGTTCTGTTACTACTGGCACTCCTGTGCCTCACAGCCAATGTGTCTACGACACCTCCTCTGTCTGAAGGTCCTGAGGTCACAATCTTCAGTTAAGGTCTGGCCTCAGCCCCTGTGATGGACAGGGACACTGCACCACACAGGAGACAGCATCTGCCTTTTAAACCCCACCTCCTAAGAGGCCCGCCTTTTTCTTCATCTGGCCAACAAAGATGCTATCAATAGTCATGTGGACTCCTATGGCCAATAAGAGGTGGTCGGCAGGAAAGTCAGGGCTCCTCCTATTTAATGCAAGGGCACCAGTCTCAGGAAAATGGCTTGGGCGCTAAACCACACTGGCCACAAGTACCCGGGGTTATAATTTGGGGTCAGAAAGTTTAAGGTATGGTATAGATGGGTGCTGGTGGTTCATGCCTGTAATACTAGCTACTTAGGATGCTGAGATCTGAAGATAGTGTTTGAAGCCAGTCTAAGCAGGAAAGCCCAGGAGACTCTTAACCTCCAATTACCTTCCAAAAAGCCAAAAGTGGAGCTGTGGCTCAAGTGGTAGAGCGCAAAAGGTCAGAAACAGCACACAGGTCCTGAGTTCAAGCCCCAGGATAGTACACACACATAAAAAAAGATATGGCAGACACCTTCCCCCATGCTGTGCAAATGAAAATAAATCTAGCATGATGTTTAGCATAAAGACTACCCACTCAGTGGATAGTCACTACTGTTCAGCAGGAATCTTATGTCAGTCCCATGAAGATGTCACATTTTATAGATGCCCAGTAGCTGTCTTGTACTAGGATTCCTTTATGGAACCCAGTAGTAATTTATCTTACAATTATTTAATGACCATTGATAAAACTTATCCATTGCTTACTAATTATATTGATTGCTACACAGATCCCATTTATTCATTTGCTTAGTAAATATTTGTTGAGTCCTGTGAACCAGTAAAACAGCTCTGAAATTAGTGAATAAAATAGGCAGTTAGTTTGGCCCAATAATAGTAAGTTTTTCATACCAGGTAGGGGAGGATATGAAGTAAAGCCTTTCTCTCAAGGCTTTGTTACAAATATTACAGTTACATACATAATATACTGAAAGGTAATGGACATATTGAGAAATATAACAGGATGACAGGTGTCTAAGAGTTTGACTGCAATTTCAAATCGGGTGGGCAAGATAGGCATCTTTAGGAAGAATACAGGAGCAAAATCTTGAAGGTTCTCCTGCTTGGAAGAGGGGTTCTTCAGGAAGACAATGTGTGAAGAAACCTGACGCAAGAGTTGCTTGCTGTGGCCAGATGCCAGTGTCTTGTGCCTCTAATCCTAGCTACTCATGTGGCTGCAATCTGTGGATAGTGGTTCTAAACCAACCTGGTCAGGAAAGTCTAGGAAACTCATCTCCAATTAATCACTAAAAAGATGGAAGTGGAACTGTGGTTCGAGTTGTACAGTGCTACCCTTGTGCAAAAAGAGCTCAGAGACAGCAACCAGGCCGTATGTTCAAGTCCCAGAACCAATGCAAAAAAAAGGGTTCTCTTATGTGTTCAAAGAGAACATAAAAAGATGTGGCAGAGGAAGTAAGAGATTAAAGATTGGGAAATAGGAAAAAGAGGTCTATGGTAAACCATTTAGGACACTATAATTAGTTTTTACTATGTATCTGAAGGATTTGTAGCTTTAGAGGAGTCCTTCTGGGTACTTTGGTGGTGAATAGGCTCTAGGGAACTTCAGCACAGAGCATAGAGACCTACTAGGAAGGAACTGCTACAATCCATGACCACAATGGATCTTTTCTCTACTCCTGCACAGAAAAAGACTGCACAGTTGCAAATAATGGCAGAGATGGATAAGAGGGGCCCAAAAGGTGAGAAGCAGGCTGTCCTTGGAAATGGGCCAGAAATGTTCACTGGATTCTTGGGTTCACCAGTGTTCAAGAAAGTAGATTTGGGAGCAGTGGCTCACATGATGAGCAGAGGGAGGGTGTCCTGAGCTTTCAACAGATGTCAGCATGAGAATCATGAAGAGGAGAAGAAAGCGTTTTCCTTGTGGTATTAGTAATAGCTATAGCTTCAGAGTGTGTTTCAGTGCTGGGCATTGTTTTGAGCTTGTCACTGTCTTGAGTGTTTATTGTTGCTGCGTTGTTATATGAGAGCCTTGAGACAAGAGAAAGTTGGATAATTTAACTAAGGCAGAGATGGGTCTGTGGCCCAAGTAGTGTGTCTCTATCTTTGATGCCCATAAACACAGTGTTATACTCAACCCCCAGCCTGGTTACCTCCTCTCATCCAAGAGATCTCCAGGGAGAGGTAAAATCCCCACACAGAGGGATGTTTCATAGATCAGGATGTCAGATGTATGTTTGTGGCTTCTTAGAAACATGAAGGTCAATGGGTGAGCTCTCCACAGAGGGAGGTGACAAAGATCCCTCCCTGGGGCCCCACCATCTCAGTTGTGGGTGTTTGTATGAGGGAAATCAGTCTTTTCTGTCTAACTAACGTGTCCCCATCATATGCTAAGTCATTTTTTAAATCAAGTTTCCTGAAATTGTTCTGTCAAACCAAAGTTTTCTCATCCTGTGATAAGGTATCTTGACACCAGGTTTCCTAAAATTGCTTACTTCTACTGACCTTCCCAACTTCCTCAAAAACTGCAACTTTACCAGGACAAGAAGAATATGAGTCTTTTAATTCCACCAATAGGATTAAAGGGCAGAACAGTGCTCCTTGCATTAGGGTGAAAAGAAAGTGGACTGCTTACTCTGTGTGCCTGCAAGACTCTAGCTTGAGTTGCTACAGCACTCTTCCACACAGAAGTAAATTTGCAATGCCAGTATCTCCTTTGTTTCTTACATGTTTGCTTTTTTTTTTTTTGACGCCGGAGGGTCACAATATCCAATAATTGTGGGGGATCGACTACGATCCTCATTCCATTCATGGAAAGAGATCCAGACTCCCTCCCTGGGGAAATGTGTCCTGCTGCCTGGTTGCTGAAGCCCTGAAGATTGGTTAGCTGTGGGTGTCTTCCCAGACTTGTGAATGAACCTGGATTCTTTGGAGATTTCTGCAATGTAAGTGAAAGCCCTAAGGGCAGGTATCAGCAACAACCAAGTAACTCTGCATAGACCAGCTAAGAAACATCACGAAAGTGACAAGGTATGCTTTGGTGGTTGGGATTCTGGAGGTTGACTGTTATATGAATGAGATGTGTCTAAAGACATGAAGCAAGAATTGAGTCCCAATATACAGTTCTGTGGTGCTCTCATATGGGTGAGGGCAGTGTTAGATTCAAATTTAAACTAATCCGGCTTAGGGACTTATACTGACCTGCCATTTGCTAAGGGGCAACCTAGACTGTGAGGGACACTGTTGGAGGTGGACCAAGTGAAAGAAAATTCAGAGATACCTCCAGCAGAATAATCTAGGCCCAAAAAAGTTCCGGGACCTAGCTATTCAGAAGGCTGAAATCTGAAGTTTGCAGCTCAAAGCCAGCCCAGCAAGAAAGTCTGAGATTCTTTTTTTTGGGGTCCGGTTGTGGGCCTGAACTCTGGGCCTGGGCGCTGTCCCTCAGCTCTTCAGCCCAAGGCTAGCACTCTACCACTTGAGCCACAGCGCCACTTCCAGCTTTTTTTCTGCTTATGTGGTGCTGAGGAATAGAACCCAGGGCCTCATGCATGCAAGGCAAGCCACTCTACCACTGAGCCACCTTCCCAGCCCAAGTCTGAGATTCTTCTCTCCAATTAACTACTAAAAGGATGGAAATGGAGCTGTAACTCAAAGTGGTAGCACACTAGCTTTGAGCACAAAAGCTCAGGAACAGTTCCCAGGCCCTGAGTTCAAGCCCTAGGACAAAAACAAAACAGAACAAAATAACCCCCCCCCAAAAAAAAAACCAGACACTAAAGAAAAAGAGACAAAATGCCCTGAGTGAGATTCATTGTCTTCTCTTCCTCCTTTTATAATCCTACTGTTCCCTCAGGCCAGGCACTAGAGACAACTTTCCCACTTCCATTTTTTTTTTTTTGTCAAGGTGATGTACAGAGGGGTTACAGTTACATAAGTAAGGTAATAAGTACATTTCTTGTCAAAGTTGCTACCCCTTCCCTCATTTTTCTCCTACTTTCCCTCCCCCACCAGCTCCCCACCAAGTTGTACAAATCATTTCCAACATACTCTCTTGTGTATATCGCTGTTGCATTGGTTCCCTCTTGTCATCTGTCTCACCATTTGGTTGTTCCCCTTCTCTTTCCTAATTCAAATAAACATATATACAATACCAGGGTACCAATATCAAATACAATTCCCCCCTCTCCCTTGTCCTCTTCCTCTTCCTCTCTGTTCCTCTTTCCTGGCTCCCTATCAGTTACCCTTCACTATCCAGACAGAAGGAATTAGAGAAATGCCACACAGATCTTGAAAATCTCCCCCTTGAAAATGGGGAAACTGAGCAGAGGGGCAGGACCTGCTTCGTTAGAGAGAAGAAGGGGAACAGTCTGCCTGCTCGGTGTGCTTACTTGCCAATTTTCTGGCTGATGGCCCAAATCAACTTTACTTCTACAGAAGTAAATTTTGCCTTGCTGAGACCCAAAACAAAAACAAACTGGGGAAAAATCGTTTTCTTTCCTTCCTCAGAGAGAGGTCACACTGGGGCTGGGGGGAAGAGGTAGAATTGGATTTATCAACACTCCCATCAGAGGTCTGAGATCTGAAATCTTAAGAGACGGTTCTCTGCTCGAAAGTCAATTCATTTCTGGGCCCACAGTTATATACTTGGACTGAGCTGATGCCCATTATAGGAATCCTCTTCTCTAGTGAGCAAAGGGATATGATCTATACAGCACCAATGGCCTTTGGGAATGAAACCATCTGCCTGGAGAAAATGTCCCTGCAGCCAATGTCAAGTTCTGTTCCCCAACCAGGACCACCAGTGGGATAGTAATAATAATCCAGGACATTGGAACATATGAGGGGCTTGAGAAATTTCATTACCAAGGGAATCAGAGAATCAGT